AATCTAGTCACAGAAGACCACATATTGCATAATTCTATTTATATGAAATGTCTAGAAAAGACAAATCTAGAGAGGCAGAAAGTAAATTAGTAGTTCCCTACTGCTGGAAAGGGAAGAGATACGTGAAGTGACTGCTGAAAGGTCTGACTTTTGGGGGTGAAACAAAAATGTTCTAAAATTAGAATCTGACAATAGCTGGGCAATCCTGACGACACCAGAATTATATGCTTTAAATGGACATATGAATTTTATCTCACTTTATCTCACTATCTTTATCTGTTGAATAAATTTTGGAGATTTTTTTCTAAGATGGGAGAAAACACAACATATTTTTATGAAGATATAATGAAAAAACTAATAATGTAGGAGGGGGCAAAGTTCCAAGGTGAGAATGCATGGAATCTACTGCAGCAATAGAGGGGATGACATTAGACAGAAGCACAAATAAGTAGCTCATCTATAAATAACAGGCAAGCAGAGAACATGGGTAAAATGCTGATAGGTAGGTGGATGCGGTGATGGGAGTCTGTGGACATTCTCTACCGACTGCTTCAATTTTCTCAGTGAAATAAGCAAGGTCATTATCTAAGAGTAACCATAGGGGAAGAGATTTTACAGATGAGGGAGGAAGAAGAAAGTGGACAATTATATAACCAGAATATTCAGTGTTCTAGTATTCTACCGAGCTGGTCAGTAACTGAAAGTGAGACCCTCTGGCATACTTTCTCCAGCCATATTTAGCTGCTAGGGTAGGGGCAGAAAGTAGATGTAGACAGAACTGTATATAACCAGCACTTGGGTTTTAGCCTAGAAGTTATGTCAAAGTAAGGGAGAGAAGAGAAGGCAAGGGAGTGACTATAATGACTGAATGTGGAATTTAAGCTGAGAGGAGAGAAACTGGAGAAAGATAAGTAGATAGGCCATTGTATTATTTCACATGAGTACTTGAAATAGGGTGGTTTCGTAGGAATGAAAAAGGTAGTATCTCCTGAAAATATAAGTGACAGGATGTGGCAAATAATTAGAAATAGGAAAAGAAGCTATTTGAGTCAAAGAAGACTCAGATATTTCTAGCCAATGACACTTGGCTAGATAGGAGGATAGAAGGCCATAGCTATCATTAAATAAGAAGAGAAACAAAGAAGACTGGTTCCATAAGAGACAGATAATCAGCTCCAACAAAGACAAGACAACGAGAAGCAAAGGAGAAAAGATACAAAAAGAAACTCAGAGCAGAAAACACAATTATTACAGTGTAGAAAAATGCGTTTGCAATATTAAAGATAAGTAAACTACTGTGTACAAGTATAATCAGTCAGTCCCTGAGCTAAAAGTTTCATCCATTTTCAAGAGAAACTGATATTAAAAACTATTTAACTCAACATCTTCCTACTTCCATAATTACCCATTAAAATAAAAATAATAAAAAAAGATGTCCAAAGATATTAGGTGGTTTGCCTAAAGTCACCAAGTTACCAGTGGAAGGTCTAGTTTAGAATCCAGGTCTTACGACTCTCAGTCTACCTAATGTCCAGAATTATCTTAGAGGCAGTTCTTACATAAACCAATCACTTATTTTTCCATATGGTCAGAAATATGGGCATGCTGGGGTGCCTGGCTGGCTTAGTCAGTAGAGCATGTGACTCTTGATGGTCAAGTGGTGAGTTCAAGCCCCACATTAGGCATAGAGCTTACTTTAAAAAAAAAAAAAAGATATCCTTTAAAAAATAAAAAATATGGGCATGCCAATACTTAGAATTTTCTTCTCTAGGTTCTCCCTTCTGCCAGAAGATACAGATCCTGCTGCTGCTTTATGTGACCAAAATTATTTATGGCAACAACTAGCAGAACAGTAAGAAAAGCAGGCAACCTATTCCTGAAGAAAATAAAAATGTGACAGTATACTAGGCCCTGAAATATGTCACTCAATTTATATAAGCAGCACCATACATCCCCCCCCAACACACACATGTCCCTAATTCCTATACTTCAAGATCTACCAGAAGAAATTCTGTTTGAAGCCATAAATGTCATTACCAGTGGCTGAAACTAGTGCCAATCACGCTGTAGACATTTTAAACTATTACCTTGTTTTAAAGGAAAGCATTCCTCCATAAGTACATACCAGTTCTCAAGGATGAGTCAATTTTTCTAGTATTTTATTCATTAAATTTTAGAAGGTAGGCCAGGGAACCTACCCACCATGTTCAACATAATTTTCAGTAGGAAAATGCATTCCGAGTTCACACAAAAAATTATTTTGTAACTCAAGACTACCCTCTGTTTTTAAAGCACATTTCATTTCAGACTAGCCACATTACAAGTGCTCAACAGCCCTCCATTATACTGCCAACACACCGACCTAGTCTATATTGTAATGTGTCGGGACAATTCCTTTCTCTGAATCTGTAAAGTGAATATGTAAATTATTAAAATATTAAAGGGATGCCTGGGGTGGCTAAATCGGTTAAGTGTCTGTCTTTGGCTCAGGACATGATCCCACTGAGCAGGCAGCCTGCTTCTCCCTCTCCTTCTGCCTCTCCCCCCCGCCCCCCGCCCCGACTCATGTTCTCGGTCAGTCTGCTCTCTCTCAAATAAATAAATGAGAAATCTTTAAAAAAAAAAAAAGTTTAATTGTTGCCTTCATTAAATACCTTAGTTTCCATTTAAACATAAAACTAAATATAAAAGGAAACTTAAGTAAGAAACAAAAAACAGGAACTTTTTCTAAATCTTATAGTTTAAATACTCATTCTGCTGATGGATCTTCTCACTTGACCTTAAGTATTTCACCACACCCTTATGCAACAATTCAGAAGCTTGATTTTCACTAATATTTTTCTAAAATAAATATGAATACCACCAATCAACTAAAACAGTATTTGGATTGAGTTCTAACATGTCACTTAAATTATCCAAATACATCTGATCTGTTTTGCAAAATAGTCACAACCATTTAAAAAAAGACAAGTTTCTGATACCATACATAGAGAAAACAAAGGAATTTTTTTTTTATTATTTCAACTACAATTTCAATCATGTAAAAAGGTTCACTGGAAAATGCATATGTTACAATAATTTACATTTCCCTGGTTCTGATACTCTATCAAATCTAAGTGTTTCATTTTAAATTGGCTTGTCCATATTGCCTAGCTACCTAAATAAGGCTATTCTCTTTCAGAAAACCTTTCCTTGATTGCAAAAACTCTGTTTCAAACTATAATTTACACTTTTATGTTTTATTTTTCCTGGCTCTATCTTCTTTGTGTAATTGTTTTAAATTCCAGTTAGGTGAGAAATTTTTCGTAGACCAGGACAGTACCTTCTATTCTTAAGCACCTTTCTCTAAAGACAGAACTAGCAAAATGTAAAAGGCAAAAGCTTTAGAGAAAACAGATGAGTTAGGTTAAACCAATTCTGCCACTTACTATCTGGATGACCAGTGTCTCAGATTCTTTATCAGTAAAACAGAAATAAAAAATATCCATTTTGAATGTTATAAGAATTCAGTAATGACAGGTAAAGCACGACACAAAGTAAACAACTTGGTAAAGAGTACTAATCCTACTGCTCAGAACAATCTACAGTTGCTACTTTTAATAAGTTCACCATACTTCTTGCTAGTAAAATCTTACAAAAAATTATATGCAAACCTCTTTTCATTCTTTACCAACAAATATTAACGAGTCTTGTTCCCATCTCCACCCCCCGAAATCATATTAAAAGAACTACATCTTGTGGAATAAAATATACAGCTCTTCTTTTTCTCCCTTTCAACTACAACCAAATGCACTTTCATACATACATTCATAGCACAAATTTACTATACAACTGAATCTTATGAAATTGCCATTTTTTACATGTCAAAACTGGTCAACTTATTGGCCATCCCCAATGGTTCAATCTGAAATTTACTTGCTCAATGAACACTTTAGTAAACCCAGGCTGGGGTGTAGCTGCTATACATAAGCAAAGTCTGTTTAATAAGGGCTTTGAAATAAAGTGAAATGTAAAAGTTCATTCTCATTTTAATGCTTTTACTTTGTACAAAGCTCTTCCTAAAACTAAAATGTTAATATAAAATATTTTGAATAAATTTCTAAGCTAAAACCTACAATATCTTTAGAGAATTATTTTCCAGACTACGGTAAACACATCAGGAAGAGATGATTAAGTAACGATCATTACATTGATCTGTAAATCCAAGCATACAATTGAAGAACTTCAATACCTTCACCAGGATGACTTATATTTCAAAAGCCAACGGGGTTTAAACTACGAGACCTCTTGAATGTAAGAATTACACTAAAGACTCAAAATCCAGTAGCAAAATTATTTGCCAGAGAAATTTTGGGGAAGAACTCTCAACAAAACCTACCTCAATAGTTCTCAGAACTGGTTCAGAATAAAATCACCAAAACAGCTACAACAAAAAGCACAAGTGCCCTAACTGTGAGAGAGTAGGGCCCTAATGAAAAGTGTAATCAAATTCTCCAGGTGCGTCTAATATGCATCCAGGGGAGAGAACCCCTGTTTCTTAAGGAATTTTTTCATATCCCTGCATAAATCAACCCCTCCTAAATTTTGAGAAGAGTATGTTCCTAAGCCAAGTAAAAGTTCCAGAGGTTTTAGTCTGTCTACCACAGAGTAGAATGTTCTGTTTTATAAGAAAACGTCACCCCTACACTACCATGAAGACAACACTTATACCAAAAAGCACTTCCCTCTCCTAAGAACTGTAGTAAGATTGACTTAGTAGAGGGATTAGTAGCAATGTAGAACATAAAAGAAAATTTGTAGTACTTCACTAGGACCATCGTGGTAATTTTCAATTATTACTACTTTCTGTTTAAAAAAAATTGACTTTCTAAATTATAAATAAAACACTAACAGCTTATTTTATATAAGTTTAACCAATTGACTAAAAAAGAAATCATAACTGAAATATAATTCCTATTTAATTTCAACATTTAAAAGTAGTCCAATTAAGATAGTCTTACTGTTCTAGAATCCGAGAATGGATTATATTCATCAAGTCCTGGTGGAACATTTCTTGTCACTTGTGTAACTGATGGGTCCTGGAACAAAATTCAAAGGAGAAAAAAAGATTACTTACCCTTTAAGGCACAGTTTTGATATTTACAAAGCACTTGCTCTATCCATACTTTTGTTCACCCAGCAAAGCTAACAGAGGAGAATAAAGAAGACTATCAGATTTACTCAGTCCCATTCCAACAAGGTTGAAATTTATACCCACAGCCCTCACACCCTCAGTGAAAAATCTGCATCTGGTTTAGATGCAAATCAACTGCTATTATATAAAGAAGGAAAACAGTTATGTGGAACTGACTGCGTAAGACCATCTTAGGAAATCTTGGGCAAACCCACCGTCCTTTCCTTTGGGTTCCACAATGAGTTCATGTTCCCCCCCCCCTTTTTTTTTTTTTTACAATATCTCCTAACACTTTTCCCTACTGCAGATAAAAATACCACATTACAAATCAATGTCATGTACAGGCAACATCTAGAGCATCCAAGATGCTCCGCTTACTTCTTGTATTTTACTCCAATAGTTCCAGTTGACTATAGTTTACTGCGTCCTGAATGGTTTCCCCTTTTCCAAGTATAATATATTACCATAATATCCCAGCTTTTCAAATCTTTTCATATTAGGCTTTCAAATAAATAAGTCCCCAAATCCTAGAGAGCTCATCTACTTTTCTTGTGAATGAATATAAGACACAAACAGGAACATCTCAACAAAAACCAACTATGTAAGTAACATGAAAAAGCATTTACAAACTGTAATACAGCCTCATTGACTTTTCTGTCTCTAGTCGCAAGCTTTGGCACGCATCCGAATCAAACACACATTGCTGCACCCACCCCCAGGGTTCTGGGGTAGGGTGTCAGAATCTGCATTTCTAAAAAGTTCCCACGTGCTGCTGCTGCTGGTTGGAGCACTGCTCTCCCATCTATACTGGACTTTCTCCCACCCACCTTCCTCGACACAGTCATCAAAATTACTTCTCAAAAATGAAAAGCTTATCTTGTCATTCCCCTCCTCCAACCCCTCTCCTCTGTTCCTCACCCATTTCAGGTTTTTTAAAGGCTCTCCACCAAGACAAAATACAAATTCCTCAAAACGAGATACAAGGCTTCTGACCTCCTAGCTTAGTCCCTGCCTACATTTCCAGACTCATAAACTCTCTCACAGGCACCTTCCCCTACCCAGATCTTCACTCTCTACCAAGTCAAACAAGCTATTGCATAAGGAGCCTTGAACTTGGCAAAAAGGAAGATGTAATGATAAATTAAAAGTATGGCATGGACAAAAAGTAAAAACTTTAGGCTTGCTCAACAATAAAAAGGGAAGGAGGGAATGAAATCACTCTACTTCCCAGAGTTCTCTTCCCAAGTTTATTCCAAAACGTGAGGAGCAGGAAGATTATCAAGAGAGAATGTGTGCCTCAGGGAGAAAATTAAGAAGAACATGAATATTTTAATCCAATTTTTCAACTTGGCACTGCTGTGGTTATCTTAATTTAGAAATGGGTTTAGGGGAGCACCTGGCTGACTCAGTCAGTAGAGCATCAACTCTTGATCTCAGGGTTGTAAGTCTGAGCCCCATGTTGGTTGCAGAGATTTCTTAAAAAATAAAAAAAAAATTTTTTTTTTAAAGAAGTGGGTTTAGAGTCAACAAGTAGAGACTTAGCAAATCCTCATGGTCCAGATGCAGTCTCAATGCCCACTCCCCTTATCCCTACCCACAAAACCAGGTGACCCAGGAGTCCTCAGCACCATATTCTTCCTTGGCATTGCTTCCTCTGGCAGGAATACTCTAAGGGAGGGTAAACCTAGCAATCTCCTCTTCCTTAAAGACTCAATCTGAAGAACAATTCACATGCTAACTAATAAAATTCCTGATACCCAAGTCATTTCATCCCAGGCTAAGTGCTTCCACAGAGCTTGGTATTTATCTCCACCAGCATTTATTTCACTGAATCATGATGATCTTCATACAAGTCCCTTTTCCCAAATTAGAATGTCACTTCTTTAAATACAAAAAATACATAAAGAGATCTTTTTTATTTAATCATACATGCCTAGTAATACTGTGTGAGTGATTATTACCACTCCCAAAGAGAAAAAAAATCCAAAGAGTAATTCCTCAGGATAGTAGCACCAGTACCTGAAAAAAAAAGTGCACAAATACGAAACTAGTTCAAAAATTTAAGTGAAAAGATGCTGATCTCATTCATAAGGGAAATACTAATTAAAACTACCCTAACATAATAATTTCTCACCTATCAGATTAGCAAAAATCTACAAGTCTAACACAGTCTTGTAACAAAAGTGTAAGGAAATAAGACTTCTCATACATTATTAATGGGAAGAGAAATTGTTACAACTCTATGGAGGGACAGTTGGCAACAGCTAGCAAAATTACATCTACATTTATACTTTGACCCACAATCTCACTTCTAGTAATTTATTCCTAAAATATACTGGCAAAATACTATTTATAATAGCAAAAGACTGGAAGCAAACTAAATATCAATAGAATATAGTTGAATAAACTATGGTATATGTACATGATAGAGTACTATGCAGCTGAGTATTATGCAGCTGTAAAATACTATAAGAAAATCTATACACTGCCATGGAATGAGTGAAAAAGGTGTAAAACAATATAAATGTTAACTCTCATTCAAAGAAAAAAATTAATGTGTGTTTATTTAAATGTTTAACAAGATTAAAAAACCAGGGGTGCCTGGCTGGCTCAGTTGGAAGACCATGCAACTCTTATCTCAGGGTCGTAAGTTCGAGCCCCGTGTTGGGTGTAGAGCTTACTTACGTAAAACCTATGATTACCTATGGGGAGATGAAGAGAACAGTGATATGAGAGCACAGGGTTGGTACCTACACTTTGCTGAATGTCCCTTGTTTTATAGTTTTTACTTTGGAGCCATGAAAATATTATATAATTTAGCAAAATGTAGAGTGAAAAATACGGATCCTAGCCAACATTCATGCCATCAGTGTCATTCTTTCAATACTAGCGAAATACAGTGAGTTCAGTGAGTCCCAATTCTCATTTTATAAATACAGCAAATTATCAAGTGTCCTAAAATTCACATTAAATTTTTTTTAATCCTACCTAAGGTATAACTTAGCTCCAAAGAGATGCAGAATGAAATCATTCTTCCAATTTTCTACTTTTAACTACAATAACAAAAACATACCTGGTTTCCTTCTAGATTCTAGAAGAGTTTAATCCAGGCTGAGAGTTAACTGACAGTTTAACAAAAGCATTGTGTCAAGTGAACTGAGTTCATTTCTAGTTAGTCTGGAATTTCTCCTTAATGTAGTATTAGGTGACAAAGGAGTAGAATATGTACAGGATTTGCCAAGAATGATTTAGGAAGATAAAGAACTGCTATCTCTGAATTATTACATGACTAACATTTCAAATTAGTTTGAATAAATGTAAATAGTATTGAGGAAGCTGCAGTCTGTAAACTGGAAGAAAACAAAGCTTAAGATTTAATAATGAATAATTTTTTTTTTTTTTTAAGATTTGAGACAGAGAGTGTATACACGACTAGGGGGAGGGGCAGAGGGAGAAAATCTTCAAGTAGACTCCCCGATGAACCAGCGCAGGGCTTGACAGGGGACTTGATCTCACGACCTTGATCACAACCTGAGCAGAAACCAAGAGTCAGGCACTCAACCAAGTGAGCCACCCAGGTGCCCCAATAATGAATAATCTTTTAAACCCTATTAAGTGTTTAGCACTTACATTACTTCCAATTATTATTCTATTTTTCAGACAAAGAAGCTATGGCCTTGAAAAAGATCAAGGGGCACCTCTGTGGCTCAGTCAGTTGAGCGTCTGCCTTCGGCTCAGGTCATGATCCCAGGGTCCTGGGATCGAGCCCCACATCAGGCTCCCGACTCAGCGGAGAGCCTGCTTCTCCTTCTCCCTCTACCTGCCGCTCTGCCTACTTGTGCTCTTTATCTATCTCTCTGTCAAATAAATAAATAAAATCTTAAAAAAAAAAAAAAAGATCAAGAAACTTCCTGAAGGACAATTAGTGTATGTCTGAGACAAAATATGAAGCCATGGCTTTCCAATGCCTATATATATATATATTCTTTCTATCAGATATACTAAAAATAGAATTTACCACAATCACAATTTTTATCAAGAAAAGACAATGGAACCTGGAGCCTGCTTAAGATTCTCTCTCTCCCTCTCAAAAAAAAAAAAAGAGCGAAGAAAAGAAAAGACATTGATTGAGCTGATTATTAATGATTCCAAAGCTTTGGCAGGAAAATACTGCACTTTTCTTTTAACACAACAAAATGAACTGTTTCAAGTGCTACCTTGGTTACTTCTATGGCAGTGGTTCTCAAACTCAGTACACATTGGAATCACCTGAAGGGTTTAAAACCCAGATAACTGAACCCCATTCTAAATGTACGTTTATGTCTGGGATGGTGTCTGAGAATCTGCATTTCTAACAAGGAAAACAATCTGAGATAGTCTCATTTTATTGACTTAAAGGAATATACTAGGCTTCTGTATTTTATTGACTTTCAAGAAGTATAGACATTCTTAAGAATTTAAATACCCTATTTGGATAGGACTACCTATAAACATTAAAGTTATAAATTTATGTCATTTAATGATGCCATGGCTATTATGCTAACCCTTTATTTAGTAAGCCACTTACTTCATACTCATATTTCATTAAAAATTGAGATGCCTTATAAAAATGTTTTTTCAAAGAGAGTAACTAAAATTTCACATCTAGCTTAATTAGCTTTTTTACATCTTTAATCCACGTTTCTTTACCAAACCTTCTAGGGTAGTGTGCCTTCATTGTATTTCAAATTATTTCATCCACCATGCGTTAAACTGGACATTTCTCCATCACTCCACACATAACCTCTCAGGAAGACTCTAAACCTGGCAGAAAGTACTTTCACCTTCACCTACATTCAAGGAGATGAAGTCAATAAACAAGTTTTGTGGCTAATCAACTTCAGTACCCTGCTTATTCTTTTCTTC